CATCCCTGCATGCCTGAGCAATACACTTATACTCTTCCCTATTTGTTTGTCCAAGTTTCCACTTTTTATAATTTTCTTTTTTGTGATTTAGTTTAGTTAGTGTTCCACATTCTCAGTTTTTACCAATTTTCACTGATAAATTCCTTCCTTTTTTTATTAAAGTTATTCGGGTTTTAATGATTTACATTTGTTTTTACTGATTTACACCTGTTTTTCAGTTCACTCACTTTTACCGGGTACAGTAAAATCCCTGTTAACCAGCATGAGTGGGGAATGGCTAGGGGGTGCTAGTAAGCTAAAAGTGCCAATTACTTAAGGCACAGGTTTCTAGCCAGACACCGGGGGCGGGGGAGGGGAGGGGGGAATGTGTGGCAGTGGCCACACTTGGAGAGTGGGGTGGTGGCTGTGTTGGGGCCAGGGGAGGGTGGCTAGAGTCACTGCCTGGGGGTGCAGGACTCCTGGCTCTGACCCTGGGCAGGGCAGGGCAGGAAGGCTACAGGAATCGATACCAGGGTGGGCGGGTCCCAGTTACACCCCAGCGGCTCCAGCTGTGGCCCTGCCCCAGGTGCTGGGAGCTGGGAGCCCTGTTGGGAAGGCAGGCAGGAGAGCCCGGCCCCACCCCCTGCGGCGGGCACTGCATCCAGCTGCTCTGCATGGGCCTGTGGGGATGGAGCCACTGCCCAGGGGCGTGGGGCTCCCAGCTCTGACCCTGGGTAGGGCGGGAGGTGCTAGTGAGGGATCAGGTCCTCCCCGTCCTCATCTGGCCGTGCGCCACTCCTCTCAGCCCCTGGGCTGCATCATGCCATGGTGCAGACAGGTGGTGTCAGCTGCTCCTGGGGCTACTGCAGGAAGGGTTGGGGTGAGTGGGGACAAGCAGAGCCCTGGGGGGTCGGGGTGCAGCATTGCCCAGCAGCTGCAGGCATCTGGCATCGACCACTCCAGGCGCCATTGCAGCAGGGGCTGGAGTGAATGGGGACAAGCTGTGCCATGCCCCAGGCCCCTTGGGGCTCCACTTATTCCCACTCACCCCAGCCCCAGCTGCAGTGGTCCTAGGAGTAGTTGATGCCAGCTGCCTGCCCCATGGCACAGTGCAGCTCAGGGGCTGGGGTGAGTAAGGCCAAATGGAGCCTCAGGCAGCTGGCATTGGCCACTCCTGGGGCCACTGCACCAGGGGCTAGGGTGAGTGGCGACAAGCTGCACCATGCCCCATGCCCCCTCTGGGGCTCCACTTGTTCCCTCTCACTCTAAGCCCTGCTGCAGTGGCCCTAGGAATGGCTGACACCAGCTGCAGAGGGAACTGTAATTTAGTGAGTGTGGGGCACTGGGGCATGGCTCTTGCTGGTACTTGCACCCGAGGAGGGCTGTGGGCTGGGGGGCTATGCCGGGCTCTTTCCGGGGGGTGTGTGCCCCTGGATTTGTGCGCCAACAGTGGCAGCGTGCTCTCATCCAGTGCACAGATCTGGGGGCATGCACCCCCTGGGAATAGCCTGGCATAGGCCCCCAGCGTGCAGCCTTCCTGGGGTGCACGTAGCAGCAAAAGCCACACCCCCCTGCCCTGCACCTACTGACAGTTCCCTCTACTTTGCTCCCTGCTGCACCCCCCAAACACACTTCCCTAGTCCCAGCCTTGCTCCCTATCTCCGTCACCACCATGGGAATGTATTATTTTTTCCCCAATTTAAAACACTTTTTTTCTTTTCTTTTTTTTCTTTTATTCTGATTTCAACCCGCTTTTTATGTTTCAAAACTAAACGCTGAAAAATTCCCAGATTTTTTTTTTTAAAATAAAAACTGAAAACGCGGAACACTAAGTTTACTGAAGAGTTCCGTGCTAAGCCAAACTGGTCTTTTGCCATACTTGCTAGTTTTCCTGCACATCGGGATAGTTTGTTCTTGCACTCTCAATAAGACTTCTTTAAAGTACAGCCAGATCTCCTGGACTCCTCTCCCCTCTGAACCTCAGCATGTTATTTTTTTTGTGACTTCACAGACACGGAGCCCCCTTGACAAACCAATCCAGGGGGCTCAGTATGCATTGAAAGTAGTGAATATCTCCTGCTGCCCCTAGCCTGTTAGTAGACTATATGAAGCCATTCTATTTTTTTCCTTTTTGCATGTAGATGGCCTCTCCTTGAGTTAACTTCATGGATTTAAAGAACAAACACCTGTACAATGATCAGATGAATATAAAGTATTAATACAGATCACATCCACTTCTGCTACAATGGTATCAAAGCAGCAAAAATCAGGATGTGTCTCATGACCTTCAAGCAAACTACAAATGTGAGAGTATTCAAATCTGCCAACTTCATCTGGAATTTGGAATGTCAACCTTGCTCTATATCATGAAGATCACTTGGGCTGTATAATTGTCCATGATTCTACATCCCTTTAATGAATTTCCATTTCTAGGCATTAGGCCTGTGCAAAGCGGCTAGTATTCACTTCAAATTTGGACTCGACTGATTTGGGGGACAGTGATTCAATTCAGTGATTCGAATCAGTATCTCAAATAGATTAAGCTGAATCACACAAGCCCATCCCCTGCCCACTCTCTCATCCCCAGCAATGGCTTCCCCGCCCGCCCCAGCTCCCAGAACTTTGAAAAAAAAAGCCCCTACTCACCAGCTGTTGCTAAGTAGGGGCGGGGCAATCCCCACTGCCCCCCCCCACTGCCCCATGCCATATGGGGGGCTCTGCATGAGCCCCCTGACCCCTGCCTGCTCTCCCAGCATCCCCCCATGGCTGCCCTGCCCAGCCCAGCTCCTGGCTCTTTAAGAAAAAACAAAACAACTCCCCCCCAGACTCACTGGTTCCTACCTGGTGATGGGGGTCAATCCGTGCTGCCCTCCACTGCCTCACGCTGAGTGGGGAGCTCTTCACAAGCCCACCTGAGTCCCAAGGCCACTGCAGGAGCCAGTGAGTCTGGGGTTTTTTTGTTTCTTTTTTCTTAAAGGGCCACAGCTGGGGCAGGCAGAGTAGCCATGGGGGGCCTGAGGCAATGAGGGGTGGGGGTCAGAAGTCTCATGCAGAGTCTCCCATGCAGCACGGGGCAGTGGGGGGCAGCAGGGATCGCCCCTCGCCTGGCAGCATCTGCTGAGTGGGACTTTTTTTTAAAGCACTGGGAGCTGGGGCAGCCCCCCCCGCCCCCACTTACCAGCTCGGGTCCAACTCCCTGCTGCAGCGGGTGGGGACTGCCCGAATCATCGAACCTCTCTGAATCTTTTCCGAATTGATTCAGAGAGCTTCGAATTGATTTGGACCTTTTTATTGGTCCCCTGATTTGATTCGGATTTGGAGATTCAATCACCAAATCAGGCTCTCCTCTGAAACAAATCACCACCTGAAGCTTTGCACAGCTCTACTAGACAGTATAAAACAAGCAAGAATCCAAAACCTTCAACCCTGTCTTAGAACACGTCTCTACCACAGTCTATGGTAGATGGAGCATTAAAATTGCCTCCTAGCAATTTAGCAGATGGCTTATTAGCAATTCATCACTGAAGCCTCCAAATTGTACACTTCACTCCCAGTATTTAAAGCCCTGTGTTTCATCACCATTTTGCTTTTACATTCCCATGCATCTTGTTCCCCTTTAGAATTCACAGACTGACAATCTTTAGTGCAACAAAGTCCCATCTACTGCTAACTGAGTCCTTTTGATACTAACTGAACCCAAATGAATACAAATAAATCTATAGCTACCTCATCTTCTTCATAAAGATGGTGGTTACTCATTATTTCCATCCATCCATGCTCTGCAATATGTACATAGCAATTAGGAATGACGAATGCTGTGTGCAAGTGAAATCCTGTAAACACAGCATTCTACAAATAGACAGAGAAGAATGTTCTTAAGCAATGTACTTCCAAAAAACTTCCTTTGCCAGGAGCTGCCAGATTCCCACTGCTTGAAGAACAAGGAAGCAGGAGACAGATATGTATCTCTCCAATCACAGCAAAATAAGGACAAATGGCAGTGACATTTTATAATAGCACAGCAGCATTTCAGGAAACTGGGCTCCAATTCATTTTAAAAGTCAGATGTCCAGGAACACTTTAAAAATTATTGGTTACTGGAGAAAAGCAGGTATGTTAATTGCAGTGCCAGCAACTGGGATGCAAATTACAGCATCTCTGGACCTAAATTTTGGTATTTATCTGCAAATGTTTCAATAAAAAATATACTTTCACTTTGTGTATAGTGTGCTGACAGCTGGGAAGGAAGAGAGGCATCTAACTCCAATTGGTACATACACTGGCTATCACTTAAACTGTGGGTTCATGCTGAGCAAGCCACTATATTGTAGTGGACACTTCCTGCAGGTAGAAGGTTCTTCACTTTTCTGTTAATTGCTAGGGAGGAATAACCTCTCAGTTAATGAATGCCAAGCTCTAGCTCACTTTTGCTTCAAAGTCCTACCTTTCCCATGCACTAGACTAGACTGAAAAAAAAAGATTTACAAATATTTTGGGCACTAACAATGTAAAAAACGCAATTTGCTGATATTTGTAGAGCCATTTTTCTTTGCTCCTCAGGTGCCTAACAGCTGTCATGTATTTGTGAAAAAGTCTGTGTAATTCATAAGCATATTCAGTGTTAGCACAAATGATTGTATATCTGCAATTGTGTATCAGAAAGTGTAGTGACTGCTGCTCATTTTCACTTTTGTATGACTTTCAGTCAGGCAGGGAGCAGAAAAAACACCATGCCACCTGAACAACCAACCAATTACAATCAAAACTAATGAATAGCACACAATCAAGGATAATTATTAAATGACCAACAGGACGAATTATTTTTCCAAAAACTTTTTAGTGACATTAACAACAAAAATATATGTTGTAGCTAGGACTGGATTTTGATTGGAAGGAAGTGCAATACCAGCAATGATTATTGAGCCCACACTTCCTCTTGCAATCAGAAAATAAGATAAAAATATTGATTAAACACACCTTAAATGCCAACTGCGGTGGCTAATACAGACATAGGAAATTACCTGAAATTCATCTTTGATCTGGCTGGAATTGGTCTGCGGGTCTAGTCTGCTGATGTTGTAATATACAGATCTGAACTCACAAACTGGAATTGCCGTGTTGCCACAGAGACATGCTTCCAGAATGGCATCATGGACAAAGACGTACTGCTCCTGCATATTATAAGGGCAAAATATTGCAGATTAATCCCATTGTGAACATATGTTGTGGGAAATCACAGCAAAGATAATTATCATAGAGCTGTATTTTTGCTTGTTTTTCTTTTTAATTGTACTCACTACAGAATTTTTTTAAGGGATGAGGATGTGTGTGACCATGTGTGTAGGATTCAACTGGGGGCTTGGACAGATGTCATGCTTGTAAAGCTGCAGTTGGCTCAAACTGTTGAAGTGCTCCCCCCTACCAGCTGCTCAGCACATGATGAGTGGTAATAAGTATCTGGGCTCTTGGCCCTGAGTGCTGACCTTTTGCTAAGATGGCTGGTTGCTATAATTCTTTTCTCAAGCTGTTATTACCATCTGAAAAAGGTAACTTGAATCTTATAGCTGGAGCCAGTTCTCTGCTCCTAAAGGCTAATTGCACCTGTTAATTCAGTTGCAATTCAGGGACAGAGTAAGTCTCCAGCAGCATTCCCAAACTGAAGAAAGCCTACCTTAATTTCTTCATCATGGAAGCCAATAAAAAGCTTCCAAGATTCACATCTGCTCCCAAATGCAGATGTTTATTATCAGTGCACAATGCACCACATAGGCACAAGTGTTCATGAAGGAGGCAGGGTGTGTGTGTGTCCACTACTGCCTACAAAAACCTACAAAAATGATTTGTGCACATAAATGAAAAATGTGTTTGTTCAGAGACCATTTTCACACAGATGCACACCAAGGTGTGGACTTAATAGTTTCTTCAAGTTCAACCATATCATGATATTTTTGTGAGCCAACCTCTTTACCCCAATCTTGAAAATGTGACCATATATATTCACTTCAAATTTAAATGAAAATTATGAAGTTCTCAACCTATTATATCCCTTAGGGACATAACACAGAGGAAAAAATAATCACTGTGAAGCTTTAATTTAGGATGAGTACCCCTCAAATAGCATAGGAGTAATCCTTCCTGGGAAAGCAGAACTATTTTTAGAAGCCATTGTAGGACCATCACCACCAACAGTTGCACTGACACGCATCTATTTTTTTTTTTACAAAGGACTTCTGATTTTTGGTATTTGGTAATATATAGGGTATACCTTATGGTAAATTGAAGGCTTCTTATTGCAACCAGAATCAATATACACAGAATTATAATTCTGAACTTTTCTCTGAGCATTTTCCTGAGTCAATACATACTTAAGGTTAACCTGGAAGTCTGAATAACTCAATAAATAATGTCCCCTACACCTTTGGGCTAATAAGATAAACATATTCTGTGCAGCATTTCACTTATTTGTTTAGCTACATGCAATTAATTGATGTAAAATTATATGAGGGGCTGTTCCAAGAATTATTGTACCTATATGTGTACCAGGTATGAAGGTACATAGAAGGATTCATGAGCTAGTCTGTCATACTGCAAAATAAATAAATCAATAAAAATTAAATAAGCACCATTAGATGAGTAACAAGCTGCAAGATTTACCCTGGCACCACAGTGCAATCAATATATGCTTATGCTTGTGAGCATTCAATAAGTGCACAGTCACGTTTAGCCGCAGAGAATTCCACATAATCATCTACAAGTGAAAACAAGTGCTGACCTAAGTTGTTGCTGGCTCCTTTTGAGGAGAGACTGACAAGAGGGCATTAAATCATGAGAAAACACCTGCTAGCACCTACCTCTGTCTGCACCAAATTGACCCTCTGGGATCGCAGCTCTCGCACACAGTTAAATATATCTACCACACCTTCATTCTCTGCCATGTCAAGCATGATGTCAATGGCAATAAAGCACCCCGTCCTCCCAGCACCAGCACTGCAAAAAAGAATGAAGGATACATCAATGGACCATGAAGAGGCAGTGTTTTCTGAGAGGAGAAAAAAAATCTGGATTGTAGGAACAACTGTTTTCCTTCATTAGCAAACTTCTTCCCTCACCCCCAGATTACAGGATTGATTTTTGGTGGTGCTGAGACAGGTGGAGATTTAGGAAGACAAAACTAGGTAGCATTTCTTGGGGAGGGGGCAGCAAAGAGGGGCAGAGAAAGAAATGTCTTTTCTTAGATACCAATAGCAATATTGTTGATATAATGATATTTCTAGCCCTGTCTAGAAATGCTTCTGTAAACACCTGAGAAACAGGGTATCTTCCTCCAGGCTGCTAACTGAGAGGCTCTTGCAAATAGAGGCAGCTCCAGAAAATGCATTTTGGAAGTGGCTTTTTCCTTGAGACTTTTTTTTAGAAGTGCGCTAGCTTATTCAGGCAGGTATGATGGACAGGAGTATCATTCTTCATCTGCACGCACTCTCCTCTATTATAGTCAGTGAGAGTCAGTCTTGGTAGAGAAAACTGGGTTTAGGGGAGAGAAAGATTTGTGGGGCTTGTGCTATAATAGAGAAGGGAGCTTCAGGCTAAGAAATACTTTAGTTTAGAAACCCCACTGCTTGTGAATGTGGCTCTCTTATTAAATGTGTTGCCCGTGCGTCCTCCTTTCCTTCCTGCAAAATTATCTGAGTTGTCTAGGTATGAAGGCTAAAAAAAGAAAAGGAAGCATCTCCCCCTACCCTCAAAGAAACTGAAAAACATTCAGTTCCAGTGAAGAAAACTTCAGCTGTCTTGAACTCCAGCAGTGCTGTACAGCAGGGAGATATGAATGACCATGAATTAATGGACCAGATTAATCAAGAGCTGAATAGAGAGAAGATATTTTTCATTTGCAGAATTTTAATGAATAAATGGCATTTCCGCTCCCTTTATCTCTCAGCTTTTCAAAATTTTAACAAATAGTTATAACATTTCTATATTTAGAGGACCCTGGCACTTCATAAATATCGAACAGTGATATTATCCAGCAAGGCATCGGTAGGGAGAATTTGGTAATTACCACTTAGAGCTAGTCATTAAAATTCAAAAGCAGATAAATAACGAAGAGGAAATGGCATTTATTCATTAAAATGTGAAGGATGAAAAATCTCCCTTGCTTTCTCTGCACTGATGAATCTGGATCAGACTCTTTCCAAGGCCAGACCCACGTCAGTACTCTGACGCAGCAGATTCAAACCCTGAGTTGTGGAAGAGTTACATCCTGCCCGCATCTGGGGCTCATTTCTGTTGTATTGTGAATCTCAGCTTGCTCAACAGATAGAATGAAAAAGATGAGGCTTTATTTAATCTTCCATGGGGGGAGAGTAGTGCTGGGGCCACCCCTATATTTTATTCTCTCTATCTTTCCCTCCCTATCACTCTTTCTTCCTCCCTCCCATACCAAGAGGGAGTGGTATGAAAAGACATCAAATAGAAATTTTGACTGATTTTGGAGATGGAAGCTGGGACTGCTGACTTGGGTCTTGGATTTCTCTTTGGCTTTGTTACTCCATCAACACTTTCCTTATAAACAAAGTGCACTTGTGCGTTGTGGGGTAGCATAAGTACTGGGGAAACCACTCAGAAAAACTAAATCTCTGTTCCTGCAACAATGGTTTTTTTGGAATGGCATATTGTCAATTCTTATTCAATGATCTGAGGTCATAATATTATTTTGATATCAAAGCAATTTTATTAGGTCATTTCAGGAAAAGGAATGGATGATTTTATGACTGTTGGCATCATTTGTAGCTGTCCTTGCTGAGAGGAGTTATTAAGGTAGCAGCTTATCAACCCAGGGTTGAAGAAGGGGTCTTTCACTTTGTATTACATTGTTTAATTGACTGTTTGCTTTTGAGTCTTGTCATTGATTCATCAGGTCTTGGTTTCATATTGGATATGAGAGAATGCTAGTTGAGTGACAAACACAGTGTCCCTATACTGTAAGTTATTGTGGGGGCCGTACTGCTTTCACAGATATTTCCTGAGATGCATTTTCTATCTTTGGGGAGAGCTAGTGTGGTTGAACCAGTTGGCAGGAAACAGAAGACTGTTCTAAAATGCAATATGGTTTAGATATGGGCACTGGGTACAGAGTCAGGAGGACCTGCAGGTTGTCCCTGGCTTTGTCACTGATTTGCTATACAACTTGACAGAACTCACTGAATTTCTCTGTGCCTCTTTTAGATTGTTAGCTTTTACGTTAAGGGCAGTCTCCTATACATTTATACAGTGACCACCACAATGGGACTACAATTTCAGTTGGGATTTCTAGCCACTGCTGCACTGCAAATATTAGTTTGAATAATATTCAAAGGTAAAGAGTGCATCAGGCAATGTTTTGAGCATCCTCCTTTCTTAAACCACAGACAGTTGTTCCTGGTACAGTATGATCAAATCTGTTTGCAAGGAGACATATAGCAGATTTCAAGAATGGAACTTAGTTCCCAGATTCTGGGTTAATTGGAAGCTAAAATGCTACAGGACAGATGAGACCACACTGGACAAAGGAGAAAAGAAACCAGATGGCCTGAGCCCAATCCTTGCCTATGGCCTGAGTACACAAAGTGGAAGTTAGGGAACACATGAAAGTGGGTCAAAGCTTCCCTTTGCATGCCCTGATATTCCCCCACTGTTTCCATCACCTGGTTTTGCTTCACTGCAGGCCTGTCACAAATTTGCATGATGGGGTGAAATTCTCACATGAGGATAGATGTTCTAGCCATGCCCCATTTCCTCCTGCTATCCCAGCAACCTGGAGGGGACTGGCTAAGAGCTCCCTGTGTCAGCAGAAAATTATCCCTATTGGAGTGGTCTTCTGTGCTTTTGGCTGCACAAAGCTACAAGACATTTGTTCTCTTGTGTGCAAGTTCACTTCTAACACTGGCAAATTATACAGTCAGAAACAAAAAGAAGCTGGGTGGTGGGTAGGCTAGATACAGTAGGAAAAAAACTTATGAAAAATAGGAGATAAGAGAGAGGACAAATAGAGGGATAACATACCTGCAGTGTACAACTATAGGCCCTGCCTCAGGAGGATTAAGGAACTTCACCTGTCGAACAAAGCCCAAAAGACCTGTGGCATAGCAAGGGACCCCGTGGTCTGGCCAGCTGGTGAAGTGGAACTGACGAATCTCTCGGATCTCATGGTAGCCTTTCTGAGGAGACAAGGCAACCTCTATAACTGCAACCTCACCAATTATTATTGCTTTTGTCTTCCATTCAGAGGGCTTAGCAGACATTTAAATTTAATAATATACAACATTTCATATACCATTTCTCATTACTGAAGATTTCAGGGTGAAAGATGAAGAGATTATATTTTCAATTATAAACAAAGCATGTAATGTAAAGATGAGGATTATGAAGGTGGTTATCAGTTTCCCATTCAAAGTGCATTATCTTATGTATAGTTTAACACTAGCTGATTAGCAGCATTATGGGATGACTTTAGTGTTGGGGGCAAAGAGTAGCACACCAGCAGAGTCCATTAGTGGCACAAATTCCCAACGCACATTCAAAACAATATTGGGTCCTTTCCACTAATCTTTAGAAATGAAGTGAATATACTGCTAATGAAAAGTTCCTATTTGACTGGTCTAGGGACAGAACTCTGTAGAGCACATACAGAACAAGCAATGGAAGAACAACTTTCCCAGGATAGCTCAAACCTGAAAAGAGATTATTAGAAGGAAATTAATTGGTCCCCATATCCATCCTGGGTCATTTCATAAGAGTGTTGTCATCTGTCCTGAATACAGGAATATAGGAACTTGTGCCCTATGAACTGGACTGATACCACTAGTTTATTCCATGCATATGCTTCAAAAGTTCTCCCAGTTGTAGCATTTTGGGTGCATCTACACAAGATGCTTTACTCAAGATTAGAGCAAATTACTGCACAGTAAGCCTCACCGTCTGTATATGCAGACACTTACTGTGCAGTACTTTGCTCTAATCATGAGTAAATTTACTACCTGGAAATACAAGTAGCTAATTTACCCGACCCGTGAGTAGTTACTGAGCTGTACAGCGTGTGTAGATGGCTGCCTGGGAGCAAATTTACTCACTGTCAGCTGGGCAGCAGAGGGAAGGAGACTGCTCCCTGGCCCTGGGAGCTGCCTGCTGCTAGGGTGGGCTCTGCCACTGGAGCCTGGTCAGAGACAATGTTCCCATGCCCCAGCAGCAGGGAACTCCCAGGCCCTGCTGCCCAATTGTAGTCATGCAGTGGGTTGGGAACAGGCTTGGATCCTGTTCCTAGCCCCAGCTCTGCAATCTCATAGCAGGGATGGGAACAGGCTGGGAGCTTGTGCCCAGCCCCATCTCCATGATTGCAGAGTTGAAGCTGAGAACAATATCCCCAGCCCTCGCCCCATGATCATGGAGCAGGGGCTGGGTACTGGCCTGGTTAGGGGGAGGTCCCAGCCCCGGGCCCAGATCTGGTGATCGAGGTGCAGGGCCTGGAAAAAACTAGAAGAGAAGGGCAGGTCCCAGCCCCCTGCCCAAATCTGCTGGTGAGGCAGCTAGCAGCAAGCCCCACGCTAGGATTTTTCGCCCAGCCAGGGGCTCACTGCTAACTGTCCCACCGGCAGATCAGGGCAGGGGCCTGGGACCTGCCCTTCCCCTGAAACTCTTTCTAAGCCCCCTGTCCCAAACTGGAGAGCCAGGGCCAGAAGCTCCCTGCTCCTCAGACAGGGGGATAGTGTACCTGCCCAGGCTCTGGTGGCAGAACCATGCCTGGTAGCAGGCAGCTCTCAGGGCCATGGAGCAATCTCCCAGCCCCCTCTAGGAGACAGCTGTCTCCTGGTCCCATGCTCCCTGCAAGCTCCTAGGCTAGCACTCAGGGGGAGCCTAGAGTTCCCTCTGGCTGCTGCAGGGGGCCCTTGCACATATAGATACCTGTTGCACATATGTTCCCAACTCCTTGCATGTACAGACGCCTGCCTGGGCATTTGCACATGTAGGCACACCCTTTGTCACCAACCTCTTGGGCTCTGACAAAGCACAGAGATTTTCTTCCTTTTATGAAGCCCTGTGATGTGCCACATGCTACTATTAGTTATTTCCAAATAAACTGTCCAGTGGTTTAACAAAACACAAAATTGGTTCATTAGAAACAGGAATATATTCCAGCATGGCTGTGATGGAGTTTCCTGAAAGATGTCAGCTGGAGAAAAAGTTTTCAAGTCATTTACTGGGTACATTAAGTGTGATTTGGGCAGGCCCACAATGGTCTGCAATTCTGACTTTCAATTTCTACCAGTACTTAACAAAAACCTCCCAAACTGCAGATTTTAGGATAAGTACATGGTTAGGCCTTCAATACTTTTTATTTGTTTTTAAAAAGGGCCTCCACCTGGCATCCAATTTTACTGATGCTTTTTTCCATCTGCAATTTCCCAGTGTGAATAACTATAGTCATTATTTATGGCATGTAGACATCTATGTACTGGCTTTGTGGGTGCATTTAGACTCGAAGCACTAAGAAATGTGCCTAGTTATTTTTGCTTCCATACAGTTTCTGATGTAAAATTGTTTGTAAGATATTGAATGTTACTTCACAGAAGTCAAGTTTCTAAGGTGGAACCCAGCCAAAACTTACCACCCCCAATTATCTTCAACAGCATCTTTGCCATGTGTCCGTGGGCTCATGCTTCAGATTCCTGATAAGGTGTTACACTAAAGACAAAGTGACCTGGGACTTACTTACCTTTTGTACGGTAAATGTGCGTATGACATACTCTGCCAACGGCTCTGTCTCAATTAATGTGACTTTAATATCTCCATAGACCTCTGTATCATCTGGCCAGTATCTAACACACTTTACCTGCAACAAAGAAGAGGCAGAGAGTAGGAATGGATAGGGAAGTGGGTCAGATAGAATAAAATCTGAGCTAACCAAACTCAAATTCAACCCAAAATGGACTTTACGTTAACCTTTGATAACCTCAATCTCTCTCCTAGCCTGCCTCCGCTTCTATGTCACTAAGTCAGCTACTTCTATAGATGAGCTCCCCATTTAGCATTACCATTTCTAAAGAATTTACTTCAGCATGGCAGGAACAAGTCTCCAGAGAGGCTCTTTAAAGGTTGAAAGAATTAGAATTATGATAAAGAAGGATGGGTGAGAGGACTGGAAGCTGGGGATAAAAAAGTCTGGGAAGTGGGGAGAAAAGTGAATAGGACAGAAATGCAGGATCTGGAAAATATAAGGTAAACACTCAAAAGGGGAAAAAAAGAGGAGAAAGGGGGGAAGGTATATGACTACAAGACTGATCACTTTGAATAAATATCATTTCCTTTTGAGATGCTGGAAAAGCTCAATTCCTGATCTCAATCAGGCCTGGGGTTATATTTTAATCTTTTTGCTTCTCAGGAACAATAAAGTCTGCCTTTCCTTTATATTCAGGGGAATTAAAACACCTTAACAACAGGTGCTTATTAAGTATGAGAAGCTGTAGCTAGGTAATAAGATAATAAATAGTTTAACATATTAACTTGTTCCTCAGACTGAATCAAGTCAAACGGATTTCACTCAGCAAGATATGCAAAGTAACATAAAGTTACTACAACCAGTGCTATGATGGCTGCATCCATTGAGAAAATGATTGAGTGCATTGGGAAACCAGCATCCTTACCCTACCAACTTCCACCAAGTTCGTGACCATGACAACACTTGCAGAGTTCTCTTGCCAAATCATTCTCCAGAAATCTTTCACTGTTTCCTGCATTGGTCCTAGGTCAAAAGAAGGGAGGAAAAAAGATATTTGAATAGACCATTTCCAATGTCAGCTGTTTTCTGCCTACCTATTTTATTACCCTCATATCTGATCCTTTCTTACCAGATATTTCCCTGCTCTTTAATGTGACATTCATTGAAGCATACTGAGTTTATTAATAAAAGAGATACTTGATACTATAAGGCACATGAGATTTTAAGGCTATAATGAATGCATTATACATCCTAGTAATAAAATAGGTAAAGAGATACAGACAAAAAACCAATACTGTACCTTGACAGTATCCCCTAGTGGCTCCATAATTAGAGCTGTGCTGAGATTTGCACTTAAAGCAGGACAAAAATCCCTTCATTTCACATTTTAATATTTGCTAATCATGGCAGAATAAACATGTAGAGATAAGCTCCCTTTTGAAGTTTCCCCAGAGAAGGATTTTTCAAACTTCTATGACCAAAAACCCAGTTATGACAGGAAGCAGATTAGAGCAGAATTTGTGTGGACTTGTCTCCTGCCTGCTACAGACTAAGGCCTGCATTCTTCTTCAGAGCCCATCCATCCTCACCTTCATGATTCCCTACTCTCTACAGTCTCCATACAGCCACACTTCTCATTCTTTGTGCCCTCAGTCTCCAACTCCATTCTGCCCCTATATGTTCCTACTTATCAGTATATATAAGGATGGAATAGAAGAGGGGCTACAGGTAGAACTTGAAGACAGGACTGTTGAGGGGGAATCATGAGGATAATGTGTGCTGTGGGCAAACAAAACTGGCAATTAGGGTAGGGTTCAAGGTACGTTAATGTGACTGGTAAGGATGTAGTACAGTGGCCCTCAACCGTTTTAACTCAAGGCAGCTCTTGGCAAATACCAGTCATTATTAGGTGTCTCTCATTTCTTAATTACAATAAAATAAAACAAAACAAAGCAAAACAGAACATCAAAATTATTCTTCCATTGCAATGAACTCAGAAAGACCAAAGCAGGTGAGAACATTTCTTGTCTTATTTAATTCCTATTCTTATTTGAAATCTTTGGTTTAATCTTCTGAATCATATGTAGGTGTTTGCACACCTGACAGTGCTAGTATCATGTGGTAGCCTTAAAAGGATCTCACGGTACCTTGGTTGAGAAGCACTTGCATAGGACGTAGTATGGGATAGTAAGCTGTCCTGTGTGGTCGGTGATAGCAGAAGCATATCCATATTGTTAGCTATTCATGTGACTCTCATCTATAAATGTCTTCAGTATCAACTTGGTCACTAAAAATCCAGGTTATGGCTACATTCATATATTCAACCACCTCTTCAGCATAATCAAATATATTCATAAGCTCCTCAGCTCCATAAAATGCTCTCTTTCAATTCTAACGTATATCATCAACTCCAAGACATATATGCAATTCCTCCTCCTCATTCTGATGCACAGCTAGCTCCAATCCAATTTTGTAGGTATTAATTGCACACATCATTTTTAAATTAAAGTCTACAAGACAGAGGTGTAACTGGTCAGTATTACACCCTGGTCAGTACTGCACCTAGTTTTTGGCAGCCAAAAAAGGGGGTCACATCTCCCCTCACAGCAATGAACCTCTGGTTGCTCCTCCACTGTGCACTACTGCTGTTTCTCTGCCCTCCCCAATTCCAAAGCCAGAGCTGGAGATAAAACTGGAGCAGGGAAGGTGCAAGGTGTGCAGGCAGGGGACCAGGAGGGTGAGATGGATACCCAGTTCCATTCCAGTGCTCCCCCTACCACAGGAAGCACCCAGGGCTCATGTCTTGCTCACCCACCCATCATTATGATACTGCTATTAGATCTTTATGTTAATCTAGTTGAGGTTGAGCTTCTGCAAGGATACACAAATTAAGGACTGGAGCATCCTATGATTTAATTTTCTGTATGTCAACACCACTTTACACAGTGGACTTTGCCCTAAGAATGGCTCCTGGATCAGTTTAAGCTTGTCTTTGGAAACATTCAAATTTAGGATACCATACTTGCCTTGAGTGGCAATGTAGTGACGAGGTCGGTGATATCCCTGGAAAAGAAACCATGAAGGTCCATGAAGCACAGGTCACAGTAGGGAAACTGGCATGTATTTTATAGCTTCCACATAAAAGAATCAGCTGTTATAATATGAACAAAAAACTAAAACTAATTATTAAATGGGCAAAGAGAAGCCCTTTGCTAACTTCTCCATGGAGTTACAAATGGCAGGAACTTCTTTAACAATTCAACCATCCAGAAACATTTTGAGTTTTTAGAGAAATTCATAGGAGGGGTTTGATTGTACAAGAAAGAGACTGAGAATGTGGCATTTCTCACATTTTCTCAAAGAACAGGTGAGCCCTACAGCTGAACTATGGGCACTCTGGAAAACTTGCTTTACTTGTTTTGTGTTTAGGTTGTGTGTAGTTAGGTTTGCATGTAGTTTTGTTAGGAGGTTAGAAAATGGATTTGTATTAGATGGTTTGGACAGGGATGATGTTATCTCTGGCAGGGGGTTGCACTAGATGGCCTCAGCTAGGTCCAGATATTCAAAAAGCCCAAGGCAGAATCGATCTAAGTTACACAGCTTTCTGTAAGTGGCATAGTTTAAGAAGATACATTCATCCTTTGGTGGTGGTGGTGGGAAGGGAATCTTAGACAGAGTTTTGCCATTTTTAAACTAGGCTACGTGTGCAGAACTTCTGTTCTCTTATGGGTATAAACTGGTTTTGCATGTCAAATTTCTATTCTGTTACAGGTATACACCAGTTTCTAATCACTTATACCAGTAAAAGTATACTGTCTGTACTTGGCCCTTTAGGGTTCCCTTCCAGCCCTCCATCTATATGATTCTACTTAGAGTAGTTAGCAAGTAAAAGTCTGTGCCTTCTCGTCTGAAATGCATGCATGTATCTGCTTCCTTTTAAAGTTGACCCAAGCATCAGTGATTTGCATTTTATTATATATATTCTTGTTATCATCCACAAAGAGGTCTCTTGAAATACTGGAATATTATTAATCATTAGGAATGATCAGATGTCCACAAGGAAGTAAGTGTGTGTGTGTGTGTGTGTGTGTGTGTGTGTGTATGTGTTTTACCACAATATATATGAGAGGGAGGGGGAGGCTGCTTTTTTAAAACTATTTTCTAACACATTGAAAAAAAAATCTCAATCTTTTTACACACTTCCCACACTGTACCTATGTATGTAGTCAATAAGCCTCAGGTCTGTATTAATGCTATTGTAAGGGTGGTGTTATTGATTTCTGTGTTCATAGTACATTATTCCATATTCCACATATGGCTCTATCAGATCTAGAAATCTCCACCTATTTCGGCTACACAGAAGGGTGGGGGGTGTGGAGGGAAGCACACCCCCACACCCAACATTCAGATAACTTCAAGGTATCAGTTGTATCATATCTGTAGTCAGCTTCTGCCAGCAGCATTCTTTGTCAAACAGGGGTCTTACATCTATATAGTTGGCATTTATGTAGTCTGAGTGAGGGTCTCCATCAAGCAGTTGCAATCTCACCCTTGAATGGTCATCTGAAAGAAGGAAACAAAAATTATAATGTTAGCAGTGAAGAGTTTAAAGTGCTCCATATGTAGCTAAAGGGAAGGAATATGGCTTTCATGAGGCAATGCAAGATACAGGAAGGCACATGTACCATAAGTAAGTTCTTTATCCACTGGTTCCTCTAACTGGTTGATTAAACATATGTAAGCAGTAAAATGAAAGAATAGCACAGAACTTTATGAACACTTCTTTTTGCATTTAAGATAACCTCTTTCCATCCCATGGTAATGATTTGTTTGCATTCAGCCTTATTTTATTCACTGTGATATTAGTAAAAATTGTTACAAGATGTTACATTTATATTAGGAATATTCTTCAATTGTTGGGTTTCAAGCCAGGTCCTTGTAAGGAAGTGTTTATGTCACAAAAGCCATCACTACATTTAGAATTAACTTGTTGTCTTCCTGGCATGGTCAGAAGAGAGGCTAAGGACTGGCAGGGCTATGGAAACTGAGGGGAAAGTTGAAGCAGTCAAGATTAGGATTGTCTAGAGAAATGAAAAACACAAAACAAAATATTAGTAGTCCATGATAAAGGGATGTAAAATTAATGAATAGTATGAAGACTGGCAATGAGGCACTTGCTTTTTCTCTCACTCCGATTACAAGAGACACAGAGGAACTCAATAAAGTGAAAAATAGAAAATACCGTATAAAAATATTCTTTTACACAATTAAATTACTTATGGAACTCATTGTAGCAAAATAGTATTGAGGCCCAAAATGTAATGAGGCCCAAATGAAGACTAGGCAATTTCAGAGGTACAGAGAACAGCCCTAGTTGTATTAAATAAGGCAAAATAATGTATCTTCATATTTCACAGAATAAACCCATCCCTGCCTGAAGTGTGGCAGAATTGTTTCTCCTATGAGCAGATTATTCTCTAATTTTCCTCTACAAAAGTTCTTTCAGTTTCTGTAGAGCAGCTGGTGCGGGCCTTTGTCACATGCAAAATCCAGGTCTAATCTGGTCTGGCAATTCCAATGTTTCTATATAATTAAGTGCAAAAATATCTATGTAAAGATCAATTGCTTAAAACCATCTAATATTTTTGAGTTCCCAACACCACATATTTTGATCCTAATATTTGAAGGTGAGAAAAATGGTAGGTTCTAGTAACTACACTTCCTGTGAACTATTTATCTAGAAACTTGCACCCAAAAATCAAGGGTGTCCAGAATTTAGAGGCAGTGTTGAAAATTTTGGCCTAAACATCAAATCAGTTGTTTACCCAAACATATCATGATTAAGCACAATCATAATAACCGCACACGCAGACTATTCTGACACTCCAAGGCTGAAGAAAAGGTGTTTTGCCAATGACTAATGAAAGCAGGATCTGGCTATAAGCATATTGATGCGTTTACAAGCACCTTTGGAAACCAGGATCCAAATACACATGAATATTCATTTACTCGCAGGAGAGGTGCAAAAACAAATACTTTATCAATTTGAAAAGTTTTCAAACCCAAAAGCAAAAGTCATGTATACTCACATGGCTACAAAAACCCATATTTATGCTCCCAATGATTATGCCGATGGTGTATGTCAGGAGCACCATTAAATTTGGGTTCAACAATACAGACTGGTGGATGCAATGAATGCATATATATTTCTGGAACTGCATCTACGACTCTCAGCTTCAGAAATTAACCATACTTATGGCTCAGGACAGACAACATTTGAAGGACTCCAGTCTACTTTCAGGTAGTTAAAAAAAATAAATGAAGTACTTCAGCATCAGACAGACACACAGACAGCTCACTGCATGCACCCACCTGCCAGGGCATTTCAAAATTGTCAATACAACATGCAAAGGCATGCTCTCCAGTCAGGGGCTGCTCAGTCCTGTGACTTCATTACTCATTAAATGGGTAGGGGAAAACGGGGCGAGAGAGCAGGTCAGAGAGCCAATGAGCACTCTCCTGTACGCTCAGCATCTGGTCTTCTGGTTCCAGAGGTGGGTGTGTGTGCAGGCTCCATAGATTGCTGGGGATGGTCAAGAGCCCCCTCCCCTGTCAGAACTTGCATATCAGAGGCCCTGCTCCCCTTGCTGGAACCAGGAGAGTAGAGGCAGAGAGGCATGCAAGGAATGTGAAATGATTCAAGTGTTAAATCTGTCCAGGGCCTATGCCACTTTATCAGGAATTCTCCTTAACCACTTAGTTAGACAGACAACATGGCATTTATACTAGCAGAAATTTACAAAGACAGACAGATTAAACTGGACAGATGGCAATAAAACACATTTCCTGAAGACACTTCCTCATTTGCAATTCAAGACATGGAACCAAGTTAGTGAGTGTCAGGTGGAACAGAAAACAAAAAATCCTGGAGGTAATGGGAGGAAGGGAGAGATAGGGGCATGATATAATAATTCCTCTACTGATGCCACAAGGAGATCAGAACCTTAAGAAAATCTAGTTTATTGCAACAATGTAACTGAAAAGCAACAGAACAAAAATGTTCCTGCCACAGCCATAAAGAATCTCAACCTGAATTCCTCAGGGACCAGCCATGAAAGACATCTAAGAAGGGGGCTGTAGGAGAGGACTGTGTAACCTACAGACATTTATGGATAGAAACCGGCCAAGGAAAAATATGGCTTTTACGTGTAGAAATAGTATTTCTTTTCTTCAAGAATACAATTCTTGTGTTGCCTTTGATATAAAATAAGTCATGAAGAAATAATCACTTGAAATTAAACAAACACACTTAAAAGACAGGAGACCTTTAGAGTGAAGTCCAATTTATGTTTTGGGGTTCAGTGAAATATACCTGGAGTTCAATTTGGATTCTGGGAGAAATCAATTCCATGTATCTTATTGCACCTTTTATGGAAAAGAGATTTTATTTCTTATGAGAGATTTATTTTGCTCAGAAGTGTGAATGGTGTGACAGAAAACCTCTGTATATACAGTAAGCATAGAAAATATTAATGATGTCATATACTTCAGGAGAGAATGGGGCCTTTAATCCTCTTCATATTTTTAGGGGAACAGGCTGGGTAAAGGTTCATGCAATAACTTATGTTTAAATCACATTTTTTTCAAGGCTTTGGAGGCTGTTCAGTATGTACAATTTTTGGAGAGAAGGAAGAAACAATGTATTAAAGTCCTAATAATAGTAATAAAAAACCTCAAGTGCAGATTTTTTATTCATTTGTAGGCTTGAAAGTGCTTTTTGAAAGACAGCCATTCTAAAAAGAGAGTCATTCTAAAGAGGGGCACAGGAAAGCAATGTACTATCAAGATTGCAAAACAGGCCACCACTATAACTGAGGTTAGAAGTCAGGTCTCTTGAGTCTTGGCTCTACATTCTGCCCACTGGACCATATTGCCCCAAACATTTCTAAATTTTGGCAAGTTAAGCTCAAATTGTTGTTTGAATTATATGCAGACTCATTTCACGTGACAAAAATCGTCACACATTTCAGCCAGACTGTGACCCTCTGCTTAAGAATGAGCTCGTGACTGCAACTTCTAGGCCTCTCAGAAATTCATAAACATTGTAATGACTTTTATATTTCATTTTGCTATTTTCTACCCTTGTGAGTTAGCACAACCACAACATTTTACTATTACTGCTGCTACTGGTACTACTACTACGAATACAGGTTACAACATGACAGGAACTTACTGAAAACAGTCCTGTTTCCATTTTAGTACAAAAACAGCATTGCTTCAAGCTCATGTAAAATAGCCTAATTATTCTAATTTGTGATTATGCCCACATCTCATTTGACACTAGTTTTCCATCATCAAATAGAAAGAGTATAAATTAAGTAGATGCAAGAGGCAGTAAAAGAAAAATATTGTTAGAATAAGACTTGGAAGAAAGAGTAATACCAGTGTTCCCACTGAATTCCAAAGGTGTTTATTCTGCATCTATCGTGTTTATTTTCATGCATTACCTTTGGTGATGTCCATGGTATTGCTGTTTCTTTTGTCTATGCCTTAGCTAGTCGTCTTTAACAGCTCGCTCAAACACCTTTGCTGTAAGTGTCCTTTCTGATGTTTGAATCATTTTATATTCTTCAATAAAGTTCTCTCCCAAAAGATATTTCAGATATAGCTTTAAAGAAAGGTTTAATGGTAGTGTTTCTATATGCCTTCTCCCCTCCCCACCTTTATTTCTGTGGACCAAATTGTGAATCTCAAGTCATGGCCTGCACTGAAGTCAGAAGTCTGGCTGACAGCCAAAATTGATCTGGGGGGCCCGTCTGTGACAGGCTCATGGCCACGGGGGTAGCCATGATGCCCCCTGGTGGCCTTGCAGCTCGGGCCGGCTCACACTTCAAAGTCGCTCTCGCTAGATGGCTTACCCACCGTGCTTTGTTCTTAATAGTAAAGGTCGATTAGGGGAGGCCACCAACAGGCCTTAGAGTGAGCCGTAATCCTAATAATTTCTTACTGGGTCTCTCGTAGACCCTGATTAGCCTCAATCCAGCCCTCAGGCCTGAATAGGCCCCTGTAGGGTACCTGTAGCCTTAAGGGAAAATTGCATGGCTTCTTTTCCTCCCGTACACCATGCCCCAAGCCTCATGGATATTCTCTCTCTTTGATATTAACTTATTTATACACTTGGCCCCCTTGGACTTCCCGGTCCCTCATACCATTTCCCTCTGAAGCCTCGGACCTCTGGTCCCACACGCAGCCCCTCCTCTGGGCTCTCAGACCCCTGATCCTGCACACAGCCCCTCCTCTGGGCTTTTGGACCCTCTGGCCCAGTTCAGCCCTTCTCTGGGCTCATGGACCCTCTGGTCTGGGTCTCATCCTTTTTCTAGGCTCCTGGACCCTTACTGGGCCCCAGTTTCAGTGTGAGGGCTACTGGATCACCAGTTCTCTAAATAGGCCTTGAGCCTGCCACCGCGGGGCTCAAGGCTAAACTACCAGTGTAACTTAAATATACAAGAAGCATCTCCGCCCTGTGGCAGACACCTCAACCTCCCTCGGGGTTCAACATAAAC